CAAGCTTAGCAAAGCACAGGGACCGCGGTTCAATCCCCCAGCACCACATGCCAGCCAGCCCCGCCCCCTGGTGGGCTGAACTGGCCACACACACACACACACACACACACACACACGTAAAATTTAAAAATAAAATAAAATTTTAAAAGGGGCTGGGCATGCGGTTCTGTATGAAGGCCCTGGGTTCAATCCCCAAAATCATCTCCCAAAAAAAGATAAAGGATGCGCCTCCCTCCAGCAGAGGGAGCTCAAAGCACGAATTAGCCCTTACTTCGAGCAGCTAGTTTATCAATTTGCCTAAACTTTGCGGTGATAAGAAAAACTGGGGCAGATGGGCACAAGGAAGGGAGGACTGGGCTCACATCCACTGAGCATCTCATCTTCCCCGAGGGACTGAGCCCACAGCACTGAGTCCCCTGCCCACCCTGCCTCTTCCCACAGTGGTGGCGAGGGTCCCTGCCTAGAACCAAACCTGCACAGAATGTAAGAGCTTGCGTGCATTCCAAGGAGGCGAATAAGGCTGACAACAGCTGCTCAAGGGCAGGGTCGCGGCCGGGGCAAGGTCGCGGCTGGAGGTCGCAGCGCCCCTCTCTCCCGCCACCCCGCGCTGTTACATAAGCCAGATGGCCCTGGCTGTGCGTAGGAGGAGGAAGCTCCGGGCTGTGAAGGCGGCTCGCGTAAGGCTAGCAAGGGTAGGCCGGGCTGCCAGCGGGAATCACGTGAGCAACCTCCATGCAATAAATTATTTAACCGCAAAACTTGCTCAGCGCTAACATCTGATCCTCCTCAACTCCTCCAGGGCCTCCTCTCCTCCCCTCCCGTTATGCCCAGCCGTGAGTGGAGGCCTCACTTTCATAGCTTCCCCAGACGCTGGTGCTGAGGGCGCCCCCTGCCTGTGTCCCTCCTGGTGGCACATGCCACCCCGATGTCAAATCTTCAACCAAAAGACTGTACGTTCACATATCTTGGTCTCTGTCCCTTTCCAAAGCACTCTCGCAGACACTAGTTTACCTGCCCCTCAAGAATCACTGCAAAAGTAATTACATATACCTTTGTGTACATAAACATATTTGTAATTTTTCATCGAATGAGCACAATTTTCCCAAAACCTATCTGTAAAACTGAATGCACTCAAATTATTAACTTCCCTTTATACTTTTCTTCCCCCGGGCCACTTTCCTCCTGATCCTGTACTGTGGGGGCTGTCTCGTCTCTCCTTAACTGGAGCCCACATTTTCCTAAGTCCCACACATAGCACTCTTTTCTGAGAAGCTCTCATCGACCAGAGCTCTTCCTGCCTGGGGCTTGACCTGCCGGGGCTCCTCTCTAGGGCTTTCATGCGTCTTCTCCCCCGCACCTCCCATGCGGGAGCTTTCTCCTGCAGACAGTGGCCAGCAACCGCTCTTTGCTCCACTAATAGTGTTCGGCTCTAGAAGAGCGCCTGGCGCACCACGCTGAACGGCAGCTGCAGCGATCACACTGGTCAGCACGAGGCCGTTGCTCACCACTCTCCACTCCACCCGAGATCCAGGCCCTCCTTGGTCCTCACTCGCTAATGATTTCCACCTTGGAAGGGAGGACATGCGGGGCACTGTTTGTTACTGCTCCTGCATGCTCTGCCGTGCACACCTCATTCCTGGCCTGCCCTTTACCCAAGGGTGAAGGAAGGCTGGGCTTGAGCCTGGACTTGAGCCCTGGGTCCTACACGGAGAACTCAACTGGACAGAATATATCACCTCCCCACGTGACTGAAGGAGGAGAATGAGCCCATTCCAGACAACTCAGAAACTTGATGAGCCCGTCTCCAAAAATACAAAGTGCTGAGGGCGTAGCTCAGCGTGAGGGCCCTGGGCTCAACCCCAGCCCACTCCCACCTACCTTACCCCTTGCCCTAGAGAGGGCAGCAGCCTTCTGAAAAAAGCCCTAAGCAGCACCTACCCCCATCTCAGCGGGTCAGGAAGGCAGAGCTCCGCTTCTGGGGCAGAACACACACGCCAGAGAAGGGTGCTTCGCTCTACAATGTGTCCCTAGTCAGCCACACCAGCGAGGCGTCACAGCTGGCCCCGTGCTCAGCCCCAGGGCGCCAGCGGCCCTGCTCCCTCTCTGGAGGCCCACCCAGAGAACCTTTGGCCCTGCATCATGGAGATGTTCCTGACCACGGCCCGGCCGCCTTCCAGGCTCGCGTTGGTCTCGGTGCCCCACTGCCCTGCTCGGAGGCCTAGGTCCACTTGCAGCGTCCACGCGGGCCTCTCTGCAGCACTCACTCCCAGCTGCTGTGCCCTCACTGGGCAGCTGTGCCTGAGGTCAGGTAGACATGGGGCACATGTGAGCTGTGCCCAGGCCCACCTGGGAGGTGGATAAAGTCCCCAGGAGGCCATGGGTCTGCAGTCTGTTCTCTCTCATGTCACAGGTCCCTTACAGGGGGGTGAGACTCCCTGTTCCCCTCTCTTAGGCGGATTTGATCTCACTCGATCACACAAGGGCCCAGGCTTTGCCCCAGAATGAGCAGTAGGATCCACTGGACCTCTTCTGAAGGCCTCACTTCTTGCTTCTCCTCCGGTCACTGTCAGCGCTGTTGCGGGCCACTTCTAAGCACTCAGAGGTCCCTAACAAGCTCACAGGCTTGGGCATCGTATACTACCTCCCACAGGCCTTAATTTATTTATTTTTCTTACTCTGATTTTCCTTTCACACAAACACTTTATAAAAATTATAATATCGTGTATATATTTTTGCAAGCCACCCCATGTCCTGTTTGGACAGAAAACAAAAAGAGGGAGTAAAGGTTGGGGTTAGGGGGTAGCTCAATGTACCCTGGAGCACTTGACCAGCAGGTGCCAAGCCCTGGGCTCCCCACCCACAAAACAGGGTTGGGCAAAGGAGAAAGGGGGAGAGAAAATGACTTCAACCACGGAACGCGCCCACGGAGCCCAGAGTACAAACCCTCTTCATACACTCCTCTCAGAGCCAAGGCTGTCCGTTAACAGGGTGACTGGAACCCCAAACCCAGCCTGCTGGGCAATGTTCTACATCCTGGTGTCCCATCAGCTCCTCTATGGGGACACAGGTACAACAAGCCAGCCAGCCTCCCTCCTTGATCTTCCACACACCCAGGCACCCCGAGGATTCCATGGGCGAGGGAGCTGTAGGGAGGCCCAGAGCCCAGTGGGGAGGCCACACTCAAACTGAACTTCTGGGCTGAAGTCTACACGGTTACGGCACTCGGGTACTGCATACGCCACAGGTGGTGGGTTCCCTCAGAATGAGATTTCCTGTGGCCTGGACAAAGCAAGCTGTGAGAGGGAGTGAAGAGCTCTTGAACCTGGAGCCTCCAAAACAAAGCGAGGTGAGGGCCTCCTGTGACCCATTCTGGTGGGGAGACATCACCAGCGGCCAAGCACCACCCCAGACCTCTCAACACAGACACGGCCCCGAAACAACCACAGTTTGCTTTATTAGGCGATCCATGGTAATAGAACAGAGTTCTTAAGGAGTCATAAACACGAGACTTGTTGTTTTACCATAATTATTTTGCCATTAAGACAGTGAGTGGTTACAAAAACAAAAACAAGGAAACAAAACCCAAAAGTACTCCTCGGGTTACACACATGATCAGCTTTAGCACTGGAAGGTCCTCCACTCATGAGTCACAATCACAATTTCAAAGATTAGAAGCCATCTAGCATTAACTCCTACACTGTGAGCGTCAAGTCACTGCGGTCACCCAGTTCTGAGACACTGTCCATGTATTTTAGCACTTACGTAGGACATCCATTAACAGACACACAAAGCAAGCCAACAGGTAAGCATGCGTACACAGCCTGTGCGAATGTTCAGGTTTTAAACTGCAGGGCTTTTTTTTTTCTTTTTGTTTTTTAAAGAAAATAATCGAAAAAAACAAAATGACCATGACCCGGTGTGGGAAAGACAGGAAGACAAGCAAATACTGAAGAGCTGCGTGTGTTTCTCAGAATTGAAACAAAAATTTCTTTTCCAACTTCTTCGAATTTCCTCTAAGTACAGGTGAGAAAAAAAAGCAAATATATTAAGTCAACCAATTCTTTTCCTTAGCAAAAAAAAAAAGTGCAATTGACCTTTAAAACAGCAAATAAACAACAACAACAAACCAAAACCCCAACCATAAACCCCAAAGGCAAAAATGTGTGGCGGCAGGGGGGCTCCGCGCAGCGACGACCCACTACGAGATGCTTCGCTTTACAAAGCCCGACTTGGTTCATAGGTCGAGGAACCTCACATTGCTCACAAGGACCTCTAAACGTGTCTGAAAAGAAACATGACACGGTCAGCAGGGACAGCAAGAAGCCCGTTAGCACAAAGGGGTGGCTGAAGCAGGGACAGGGCAGGGCACAGGTGCGAGGTCGCCCATAGTCTCCGAGGGAACTGCACCCTCTGTTTGTAAGATCTTCTCCCCCATAGGAGCCCACCATGATCCATGGTTCATAAAACAGATTATTTCCCCGTCTTGCAAAGTAAAATGGGCTTTCAGCTGAATTTTCCGAGGGATTTCTGAGTTTATAAGGTCACCTTGCATTGCAGTGTCACTTGTGAAATAGTTGCTTGAGATTAAGAAGATGGTATTTTCCTTGCTGTGTTCCAGAACCCAAAAGATCCCTAATGGGGCAAAAGCATACCCTGGCGGCCAGACTGGCACAGGCACTGCCCCAGGGAGCCTGTAGGCAGCTGGAGCCCAGGTGACCTTGGTGCCGGGCTGGTTCACCATTTCTCTTTCACCAGTCAGTAGTATGTGGTGAAACAGTCAACATTCGGCAGCCCACCCGTCAGGCCCACACTGTGTGACCCGCTAGGCCCCAGGCGTCGGCCTGGGTGAGACCCAGCCATCCCTGCACCTGGCAAGTGACTCAAGCTCACACACACCAACTTGTGACCATGGGCAGGTAGCACCAGTCCTACAGGACCAGGAGGACACAGGACTATGGACACCGGGGAAAAGTGCGAGTCCTTCTGGGCAGGTTCTGACCACAGGGACATGGGACACCTGGCAATCAGAAAAGCAGTGAGAGCAGGAGGGGGAAACCCAGCCTCAGAGACAAGGGCTGGAGGAAATACGAAGCAAGACACAGGCATCTGAAATATTCATGAACAAAAAAGCTAGAGCGAGCAAGAGAGAGGGTGGAAACACGGCAAGTAGAATCCTCAAAAGCTCTCATCTGCTGCAAAAATCTAGGCCAAAATAGAAAACTTGGCCTTTCTCAACAGATGACCCAGAAGAACAAAGTGGACACTCTGGAGCTACTCAGGAGGGACAAAAAGAACTCGCCTACCATCCGAAAGAGCGAGATGGTTACGTAACTGCATCATTAGGATGTCCAGTTCAAACCCTGTGTTATTAATATTGAATTGCTTCCCAATTTAGTATTTAAAAAGAAAAGAACTCTCTCCTGTCCCCCAAACCCTCCCTAGCCCCACAAAAACAACCACAAAAAAAAACAGCCTTTTTAAAAATGTAAAAAGAAAAAAGACAAAAAGGCAGCTCAGGGCAATTCACTGTATCTTCCCATGACAAGGAAGATGCAGAGGCCGAGGGCAGGACGAGGAGCCCCCTGGGGACCTGCTCTGTGGCGCATGTCTAGTGTTGGACACAGCTCTGTGTAAAGTGTGTGCTAAGCTTGGGTGTGGAGTTTATGGATGGGAGGACGGGAAAGTGGGTGAGCGAATTCAGTAACTCCAGGTGAGAGGCAGAGCGTGGGGCCTGACAGGGAGCCCCGGGAACTGGCTGCTCACAGCAACTATCACAGGCTCTTTAAAAAAAAAAAAAAAAGGAGAACAATTAGAAGAGGGAAGTCTCAGAATGTCCTCAGGTGTCCCATCCCTCATGCCCAGTGCAACAGGCCCAGGAGCTCTAGCCCAGGCTGGTGATGTTGGCACGGCCACCAGGGGGCGCCACGATGCGCTGGGTGGTGCGGCGAGGAATGTTGTCATCAATCTGGGCACCTGGAGAGGAGAGAAGAGGAGAGAGATGAGGATCCACAGCTCAAACCCAAGCCACACAGCTCAGGAGAAGGGGCAGGCAGAGGCTTGGTTCCTTTCTCAGAAGCTCACAAAACATTCAGACTATGGAAATGCAATGGGCTGGGCTTGCCCAAGAACCGTGTGTGGTAGATGCAGTCCCTGGGGCTGCGCAGGTTCTACAGCCAGGTAAGCAACCTATTAATGATAACTACATGTCATTAATGATAACTGTGGATGTGGCTCAGAGAGAGAATACCTGCCTAACACATGCAAAGCCCTGGGTTCAATTCCCAGGGCTGCCAAAAAGCAAAGCCGCCTACATATCAGGCTACACCCAGTCTCCATTTCTACTGGTCAAATAGAGTACAGCCTCTCTGACATTCAGTTCCCCCAATCCTGCGCGTATGACAGAAAGTAGAAGCAACAGCAGTACAGGCTGAGCACAGCAACTTAAAAACCCATAATGGTACAGAATTTTAAACTTTGTTAACACCAAAATGATACTAGTGGAAAATCCCACAGCTGACCTCATGGGACAGGATCACAAGGGAAATCCAGCTGCACGAAAGATACTGTACAAAGCACCATCAGTCTAGGCATATAGGGTATGTGTGAAATAGAAATAAATTTTGTGTTTAGACTTGGTCCTATCCATGATACTTCATTATGCATAGGCAAATATTCCAAAATTTGTAAAAATTCGGACTTCAAAGCATTTCTGCCTCCAAGCACTTCTGATACCCTCGCACCAACCTGAGCCTTCTATGGGCACAGCCAGAGAGCGAGGGGAACACAGATACCGTGGCAGACATTCCACTTTATAAGAAAATTAAAGTTCACTCTTACTACATTTTTTGAACACGGGCAACCCCAAAATGGCACACACCGTACCCCTCCAATAACCAACAGCTCTGATAAGAAACATCCACCGGATGAGCTTTACTGTCGTGGACTCCGGGTACCTACCTGCGATTCAGGGCAGTAGGGAGAACAGAGCCCGGTCATGGACCAAGGGAGGGACAGGAAGAGTACACAAGGAAACTGAAACCCGGACCGCTTCCTCTCTCAGGGAAACGTCGCATAGCTCGTGGACCCAAAAGCTAAGTTCTACAATGGCTGTGTTTTAAGCATTTCCGAGATGTCAAATTTCTCCGCCCCCCGCCCCCGCCCGACAAGGACCCACGACTATAAAACCCGTCATGCAGATGAGGAGAGAGACACACAGCCACACGTAGCTCCAAAGCAGGGGGCTGCAACCCCAGGCCCCCCGCCCAGGGCTCCCACAACGCCCTTCTTGCTGGTGGGCGTAACGTGAGAACTCCGACCTCTGCGTCATGGGTACAGTGCACAGGACGGGAATCGTGGTGTGGGCGGGACAGCCACACACTGATCTTGACGCTCTGAGCCCCAGCTGGACCCCTGCTGTAAGGACACAAGTCCAGGACACGCGCTCCCGCCCTGCCCCTCAGCCCACGCACCAGACAAGCTGAATCCGGACTGGTGCAGATTCCGCACTGGCGGGGCCTGCTGCTTGGCGGGAGACGTCTTCGCCGAGGAGGCCGGAGTGACCGTCTTGGGCGTCACGGACACCTCGCACACAGGTCCATCATACAGGCCACGAGGGACCCCTCTCAACTCCGCCAGCTGCAGAACACAAGCACCCCCCGCTGAGGCCACCCCCCATGGGAAAGAACATTGCCCTGGGGGACACTTCGCTTACTACGGTAGATTCTCCTGGTGACCAGCAGCAAGGCCCAGCTCCCCACAACGTGCTCATTGACACTGGGCATTGTACAAGAACTGGCAAGGTCTGCTTATGATTTGTCCCCCAAAGTCCTTCCACTTTAGAGCCCGTCACAATCACTCAGACCTGCTGTGAGGAAGTACTGGTGCCAAGCTCAAGATACGCCCCAAACAGCCCCGCCAGTCCCATTCTCCTAGAATTTCCGTACAGCTCCGATGCTTCCTTGCCCAGGTGGGCTGGTGGCCAGGGACTGTCCACCATGCCTTGAGTACCCTGTACATTTCCCATGCTTAGGACATTCTCTCTGCCTGGTTTATTTAGCTGCCTTTTTTGACTTGACAATCTCCTACTTAATCTTTAAAACCCAACTCAAAATGCCCTCTCCCCTGACACTTTCTTCCATGACCCCTCAATGCTGGTTCCCTCTAACCCCCACCCCATACCCTTACCAGGGCACCTACTGCATTCTTATTTTTGGCAGAACTGAGGACTGAACTCAGACCCTTGCGCTTGCCAGGGAAGTGCTTATTCCACTGAGCCATCTCCTCGGCCCACCTACTGCATTCTTACTTTGTCCTGGCTAGCTCTGGACATCTCTAACTCCTCCAACAGTACTTTAAGTTTCAGAAATAAAAAGAGCAGAATCTTCTTATCCCTCTACCTGCCCCCACAGAGCTCACGGTTCTGACTCAACATGATTAAAAACAAGTGTTTGTGGAACTGAACTCACTGCATGAATTCAAAAAAACCCTAAGAACAAAGCCACTCACCCTGCTTCTTGCCTTGATACGCTTGTAAACAAAGTCAGGGAACGGCTTCCGGGGGATGTAGCGCCCAGAGCCCTCCGTGACATGCAGGGTGCCGTCCTCCAGGACGATTTTGCCCTGGCTGATGACCACGAGCGGGGAGCCACGGCACTCCATGCCCTCGAAGATGTTGTACTCCAGTGCCTGCAGGAGGGGACCCAACACGGTCAGCTTTGAAGTGGGTGCCTGACCGCTAAGCATCACCCACTGCCCAGGGACAGGGTCCCTGTCGCCCCCATCACCCCAGCCACTTCCATGTCCTCCCTTCCCAGCCTTGAGCCTGGAATCGCCTTCCCTACAGCTCCAAGTTTGAAAGAAAACTAACTGCATGGAAGGAAAATGAGGGGAGAGTGTGTTTGTAAATGTTGCCCAAAAGTCAGGAAAACGACTCTCCTATGAGCAGCCACTGCCCCACCCAGCCGAGCACACATGTACCCCGAGGTTGGGTACTGGGGAGTGGATGGGGCCCTTCACATCAAACCACATCCCCAGCCTGTTTAGGGTTTTCGGTTTGTTTGTTTTAGATTCTGAGAGGTCTCACTAAATTGCCCAGGCTGGCCTCAAACACATGATCCTCCTGCTTCTGCTTTCCAGAGTGCTCAGGTTACAGGAAGTTGCCACCATGCCCACCGGGGTCAACATTCTTAGGGTCACCTCCAGTGGCACTGCTGGGAAAAGGTCTGGATGGGACTCGGGAGGAATGGGATCTGCCTTCCAGAACATTCCCTCCTTCACGTTTCCTCTCTGTCATTCCCACGGAGAACCCAAATCCAAGCGCCCAGCCCGGCGGTCTGTGACACATCAGGAGCCTTATCTGCCCTTCTCCTCACCTCTGGGAAGCGGCCTTGCAAGGGCGAGCAGCATTCTATCCACTCAACCTTGACTGAGAAAGAAGCTGCCGTCTGGCAGGGAACAGCCGGAACAATTTCAGGTTCTAATTCTGGCCCAACCGCAAAATCGCTATGTAACATTAGACTGGTCACTTAAGCTCTCTACACCTCCGTTATTTATCTTCCCACTTGGCATAATAATACCAGTGCCTTTATGGGGACGCTCAGAAGACAGATGAAGGGGGAGGCGAAGTTAAGAGTCATCTGAGGAAGTGAGTTCACCACAAGGACATTGCGGGGGGACCCCCGAGCATGGTCATGAATGGGTGCAGCCACTGGCCACGCTGCCACGGGGGAAGAAGGGAGAAGGCTATAAATAAGGAGCTGAGCTCCCTTCCGAGAATCCACCACCACCCTGGTACCCACAGGTGCCACAGAAGCTGGAAGGTGGCCCAAGCCCCCTCTCCAAGTAAGATGGGATCTGGACCCAGCAGAGCCCAGTCCCGCCACACACAGATGTCAGAACCTACCCACGCCACCACAGCACTGGGCTGGTATCTGTCCTTGCCACCCCAGGCCATCCTGGGGGGAAGGGGTGGCCTAGAGTCATATTCCCTATAGAACTGGCTTTCTATTTTGAATTTCATCCCAAACATCCTCCCCATTCATTACAAATTTGCCTCAAGATTCAAGTGAAATCAGGACACAAAACACTCTGGCCAAAGCAAGACTCTCCAAAGGGCTCTCCTGGTCCACGCTTTCTCAGTTTAGCAGGGTGTGAAGGTTTGTGTCTAGTTGTCCCCCAAAGCCTCGTGCAGCCATGGGGTAGACTTCTAAAGGTTGTCATTAATTCTCGATCCAGGGCAGACGATGGGTGTGAGCGCCACACCCACAGATAACCTGAATGCAACACAAGGAAGGGAGAGACGCTTGCTCTCGGCCACGGCCGCTGCTCCTGCCTTTTTGCTCTTGCTATTTTGCTGTTTCCTGCCACCATGAACTGCTGCCCTCTGCCATGTGCCATTCTGCCTTGGAGCCAGCTGAGTATGGACTGCAACTACCACTAGTTATGAGCCAAATAAATCTTTCCTTCCTTAATTGGGGTACTGGGTATTCTGTCCCAGCAATGAAAGAAAAGTAACCCAGACATAGGGACATGATTTTTTAGTCAGCAATCAATGGCATCTATCACTTCGTTAATCATGGGACACCCAGAGATCTTGCTGAACACTTCAATCTCAGCTGAGGACCTGAAACACTGGCATACCATGCACCCCAAGCTGTGGAGCCCAGACCAAGAGGCAAGAGCAGACCTTCAGTCAAGAACAAGTGGCTGAGAGTATTCTGCTATGTGGGAGAAGTCAAAGCTCACCAGGTCCTTTAGGACAGTCAGCGAGAGTGGCTGGACACAAGAAAACATGGCATCTAAAAGTGGAAGTGACCAGTGCACATCTCAGGCCTGGACACTGGACAGCTTTATTTAGGTTGCGTTATTACTAGGATCCAAAGTGCTCCTGAGAAAGGTCCCTTGTACTGAAGGCCTTGCTGCTGATGGGCTTCTGGGAAATGACTGGTCATGAGGACTCTCGGCTCATCAAGAGGAGTAGTCAGAAGGTGGTGCACTATTAGGATGGGATGGAAACAGAAGGTAGGATCTAGTGAAGAGAGTGGACCATAAGGAGGAGACCTTAGGGACTAGATACGGTCTCTGGGCTCTGCCTCTCTGTCTCTCCCCCTTTCTCTCTCTGCCTCTTGGGCGCCGTGATGTGAGCAGCTCTCTCCACCACTCCGTTCGCCATAAGCAGAGAAACGGTGGCGCCAGCTGACCGTGAATTGGAACCTCTGAACTCATGAGCCACAAGACACCATTGTCCTTGTAGCCGATTTATCTCAAGTATTCTGTGACAGTGACAGAAAGCTACAACAGGTCACTTAATCGAGTATCATAAGAGATGCTGCACTAAACCATAAAGAATGGAATGTGAGTGACTTCTAGAAACTTCTGACGATTCAGTGTCATTTCGGGGACTCTTGAAAATCTAAGGATCGGGAGGCCAAGATCCTACAACAGACCAGAGGAATGGGCTTACCCATCTCACTAAATTAATGAAAGAACTGTTTTTCTTCTCAGCAAACTGCACACTACAGCCACGGGAAAAGTCACTCTCACCCAGCACAGTCGCTGCAGAAGCCCTGGGGGGCCTCTCCCGCCCCCCTCTTCCATCCTGTGGACCAAGCATGCATGGTGAGCCTTACACTGTTGTGTGTCTTGGCCGAGACGGTCTTCATGCTGTCAGGGTCCCAGATGACCAGGTCTGCATCGGATCCCACGGCGATGCGGCCTTTCCGGGGGTAAAGGTTGAAGACTTTGGCCGCATTAGTGCTGGTCACAGCCACAAACTGGTTCTCATCCATCTTCCCAGTGACCTGAAAAATACACAGGTGCACGCATGCACACACGCACACACATACACACGCACGTGTGTACACAAACACAGCAAGGGTCACAACTTTGAAGAGTAGAACACTACCTAGCAATACAAAGGCATACACTTTGACACACACAACTTAAATGGCCCCCTCGGGGCTGGAGAGATGGCTCAGTGGTCTAAAGCACCTACTTGGAACAAGCTTGGCAAAGCACAGGGACCGCAGTTTGATCCCCCAGCACCACATGCCGGCCAGCCCCTCCCCCTGGTGGGCTGGGCTGGCCACACACACACACACACACACACGCTAAATAAATGTAAAAAATAATAATAATAATAAAAAAGATGCTTTAAACAAAAATAAAATGAAAAATAAATGGCCCCCTCAGTAAAATACAGGCACAGACCTGAGTCCTGTCCCGCCAGCCTACAAGTCTTAACCCAGGCTGGCGTCTCATGTGTGGCATACAGCAGGACACACAAGCTATGTCGTAGGGGCCAATCACCTTTCCTCAAAATTCAGCAGCACAACGGGCAAAGGAAATGAGCTTGCATTAAGCGGGAGGAAAATTCCAGGATTACCACAAAAGAGAGGGAAAAAAAGACACAAATGGCCAAGAGGCCTCTGCAAAATAATCATGCTCATCGGTAGTTAAAGAAAGTAAGTGCTAAGCAATGAGACTCGGAATGCACTTGGCGGTTCAGCAACCCTCTGTCTTGGTGCTCATAGTGAGAAAACTTGTTTGGCCTGAAGAAAAAACTGGGAATGCCCTACATTGTCGGTGGCACAGGAAGTGGTGCGATTTCTCTGGAAAGGGGCTTTAATAATATATGGTAACACCTTTAAAAATATATACACTTTTGACTCAGCAATGCTACTTCTAGAAATGCTTCCTACAAACATACATAAGGATGTGTCCAGGGATGTGCATGCAGAGATGCCTGACCCAGAGAAAGCACTTGAAGCACCACAAATGCCTCACCAAAGGATTATAGATGAGGGCCGGGGAGATGGCTCAGTGGAATAAGTGCTTCCCTGGCAAGTGCAAAGGCCTGAGTTCAATCCCCAGTTCAAAAAAAAAAAAAAAAAAAAAAGGAGAAATTTCTTCATGATATATTAGTGTTTACCAATACATAGGCCGAGGATATAGTTCAGTGGCACAGCACCTGCCCAGCAAGTGTAAGATCATGAGTTCGATTCCCAGTACCAAACAACAAAACAAAAAAGAAGCCAAAAAACAAAGAATCCAAAAAACAGTATGAATAATGCTAATGCGATTTGCAATTGCTCATAGCATACACATTTGCACATTTGGGCATTAGCAAAAAATGAGAAGACATTCACCAAAATATCCATTATAGTTATATCTGAAACACGGTGACTTTATTTTATTATTTTTTTAATTATTTATTTATTTGGTACAGGGCCTCACTACCCAGCCCAGACTCATAGTAATTCTCCTGTCTCAGCCTCCCCAGTTCTGGGATTATAGGAGTGCCGCCACGCTGCATCTCGGTGGCCAGCATGAGGCACTAGGGTTCCAGGGCCATCACAGCCTGTGGTACCAGGGATCAATCCCGGGTCCTAGTGCTTGCCAGGTAGGCACTTAGACTGCTGAGCTATCTCCCCAGCCCAACAAAGTGTTTTTAATTTACATAATCTAAAATGGCCTAAAAAAAAAAAAAAAAAAAAAAAACAGGAAACTAGTTATTACATGTTAAAATTAAAAAGCCAAAAGGTGAAGGTGTGGTTCAGCCAAGCTGATCAGAAGCCTGTGTTCAGTAGAAACCCTCTCAGATTCTCTTGAGGAAACATAGTCCCATCGCCCAAATGTTAACTGAGAATGACACCCAGTGGCTAGGGAAACTTCTTCCTCACTGACAGGAGTTACACAGGGTATGATCACAAAATATGGTGAATGTTTAATTTTTTTTTTTTACTTATTAGAGTGAATCCCACACAAAATCCTCCCTAGTTTCGAATACATCCTGAATTCTTGCCACTTTCTGAAGAAATTCTGAAAGTTCTCTTTCATGATTATCTGTTTTTGAACTCTCATGGCTGCCTTGATGTCCTAAATCCTTCCAAAATGACCTTTCTTTTGGGGGAAGAACAAGAAGTCACATGATGCCAAATCCAGTAAATGACTTGGATGACGGCACACTGTAATGTTTTCATCTGACAGAAATTGCAATAAATGATTTTGAATCAATTCAGGACACAGAAGCAGCCATGACAGCCCAACTAAAGACACCAACGAAAGAGGGCTTCCAGAACTGCTTCAGAAAGCAGCAACAGTATGGGATAAGCATGTCCAAAGCAAGAGGGAGGATCTGAGAAGGATTATTGTCAACGTACTTTCACTGTAGTAATGTTAATTTTTATATTCCTCATGTTCTCACCACATCTCATACTGAAGTCTCCGTAGATGATAATGATGAGCTATGTGTAATATTTAGGAGAAAAGTACCCATCAAGAGTGGATGTGGATTCCCAAACCTAAGAAACCCTGCCACACAAGTGCTAACTTCTAGAATGTTCTTCGTTTGCATGTCAAGGCCAGCATGAGCCCCACAACCCACAGAGGAGGCAGGTGAAGACTAAGGCTGGTGCTCCTTACCACAGCCTTATCCCAGATGACAGACATCCGCTCCTCAGTGCCATTGGTGCCCTCGGGAATCAGAGTGAAGTTGTCCTTTCCTACAGCCTTCTGGGCAGTGTTGAAGGTACAGTGGGCACTACCAGTGACCTGGAGGTCTCCACTGGAAGGAAACACACAACATGCTGCTGTAGCTTCATTGTAACACTATGTGCTTCAGTCTGTCCTGTGAGGTATTTGAAAGGTGACACCACACCACTGAGAGTGGGGTAGGATCCTTTGGACACCTCATTTACACTCTCTGGCTGATAGTCCTGATGGCCCAGGTCTTTATCAGGAAGGCCTTCCCAGGAAGATGACATAGAGCTAATTCTTTGTTCTTGCTAGAGATCCCAGTTTGGTGACTAAGGGTCTATTTTCAACCCTGCCCGTGGCCACCATGTCTCACTGACTGAGTCAGTATGGTCTGAGGAGACAGAATGAGAAGTGTGAGCAGGTCACCAGGACTCACCACGACAGCAAGGAGTTCAGGAAGTCTGGAGTGGTCGGATCGGGGCTCAGGGGTGGGGAGGTGACAAAGGCGGCAGCCTTGGCCCAGTTCTTGCTCCAATAGTGGGAGCCATCGGTCCCCAAGCTGGCGGTGATAGGCTCACCATACACCACGGTTCCTGATAATGAGAACACAGGAAGCTCAGTCTGATGCCATGTGGAAGGAGGCCAGGCTTCCTGGGAGGCACCCCCACCCACAGGCAGGCACTCCACCAGGAGACTCAGCTGTGCCTCACAGGCAAGGAGACAGATGTGGTGAGGTCAAGTTCCCCCACACAGAAGGTCCACACTGAGCATGCACACAAGAGTTTCGTAGGTCCCCAGCTCATGGAAGTTGATACACCTGTCTCTGTGTCCCGAACACCTTCAGGCCTCTGCCTCCTGGCTGCTGATCTCCAGTAAAAATCTCCAGCTCAGAAGGCTTCCAAGCACCCAATCCCACCTAGACCCCTAAGTGCCACCTAGACGCCCCTTTCATGGTGACCAATGGACCTGGCCACACTGTGAATCCTCTCTGACTAAGAGCCAATGAGAGGAAATCCTGAGAGGCATCACCAGGCTGAGCACGTAGTGTTGTCTATCCATAATCCCAGCACTCAGAAGGCTGAAGCAAGATTGCTGTTGGTTCAAGGCCAGCCTGAGCTACAAGGTAAGTTCAAGACCATCCTGAAGTGCATAGTGAAATCCTGTCTCAAAAAGACTCCCCATGAAGAAAAAGTGCATCACCTAGCTTTCAGAGCAATCACATCGCCCTCCAGATCCACCCAAGGGACACCTGGATCCCTGCATTCCCCTATGAAGAAAGCCACCCAGACAGGCATCAGTTCCACAGGTGATACTGTTTGTATGAGACACAACAACCTTGCACAGCTAAGCCACTGAGATTTCAATTTCTACAAATTTCAATTGCTTATTACAGTGTCTGAGAAAGAGTGCAGCTCCTCGATGCCTGGATCACGTCCTCTTCTCTGTCCAATCAGAGAGCCCGAAAGTTGTGAGCCATTTATACCCTCCGAACACGCCAATGCTTTAGTTTCTTAAATCATTCTTCCCTTACATCAGGCTCTCAGCAAGCCACCCAGCTCTTTTCAGCAGAGCCTGGCAGCTGGAATTCAGGCTTATGCTGACCAGCAACACCTCCCCAAGTCCTGCATCCACTCTGGGGACTCCCAGCACGAAGTGCATGGAAACAGAACCTTTTCACCATTCTCTTGCAGAAGAACCTAAGGAACCCTTCTGTCTTCAAGGATTTTAAAGCTAACAAACTTCCTCACTGGAACAGTTACCACCCTCACTACCCAAAGCAGACCTGCTCCAACACCACACAAGACTCAACTCATACATCATCCCCGTTATTTCTCTCCCTACTTCATGGTAATACCCTGAAGATCAATTACCTGCTTGCATACAGTAGCCAGTCAATGAATGTATGTTAAACTGATTAAATGATCTCAGAATTTATTAAAGGCAGCAGAGCTGGAATTAGATCTCAGGTCACCAAATTCTCCTCCCCTGGTCTCCTCAGACCCTGACACAGGGCTGACCCCCACTCCATGTCACAAAGCGGAGCTTCAGTCTTCAAAGACAGGGCCAAACAGGTCTCAGTCAGGAATGCGCCTGCCTGGCTCTCTATAGCCTTTCAAAGCCTTATCACTTGATAATGCTCCAGGACACCCTCTTTGCCTGCCTCTCAGGGAGCTGGCTCCACAGGGCTGTGCCCTCCTGCCTCAGGAATGCCACAAAGGAGCCGCTATTCAGGGAGTGTGGGATGCCAGACGGGCAGCCCACTCCAGGCCCTCAGGGACAGTCCTCAGACAGGAGGGTGGGCTCCAGAGCCTCATGAGCCTGCCCTGAAGGAAGTGCTGGGAAGGAAAGGTCCAATGCTCAGGGTGTCTGCAAGGGACCTCTGGGTTCTTGACCTCCTCGAGGCCTGCCCACTGTGCAGCTGAACGGGCCCCTGCAGCTCACCCCAAGATTGGAAAACTCCACCTAATGAGAAGGCCTCACTACTGCCAAAGCCCTTTATGAGATGCAGATGGCTGTGAGCGGGCAGGGGAGTAGAGCTTCTCACGGCTTGCTGGTGCCCAGTCTGGGAAACAGCCCACAGGTCTGCTTAGGTCTGACTCTCTCACTCAGCCAGGGCCGGGGTCCTACTCAGAAGTGAGGTTCAGATAAGTCTGAGAAAAAGTATCCAAAATGCTACAGGTTTCCTGGTTTTAATCCCTGAAAAGGTTCATGAGAGCGAAGGTGGTTGGAGGAAAAAAGTACTTGATGGTCTGTGAAAATCTGAGGACACATGTCCCCATTTCCCGGAGTCCTCACTTAACTGGCAATCTCTCGCCCAACCTGCTTCCCAGTCCTTTGGAATCCAGAGAAAAAGGAAGGGCCAGTACTGGGACGAGATGGACATTTAGATCTGGAATGTTCCTTAAAGTCTCACATGCTCAGAGGTGGGGCTGCCAGAAGGTGACGAGGCCAAGGGATGCCACGGGATCATCAGTGGATTCAGGCGCTGACGAGGCCATGGCTACGCATGCTACTGGGAGGCAGGCCTGGCTGGAGGTGACCTGAGTGTGACCTGCCAGGGAGTGTTCTCCCCCTCACTTCTCACGCTCCCTCTTGGTCACCATGCTGCGAGCAGCTCCCCTCCGCCAGGTCCCACCACCATGTCATCTCTGCCCTGGAGCCAGCTGACTACAGACCAGACCCACTGGAAACCTGAGCTCACAAGCCTCTTCCTAAACTATGGATACTCAATGTTTCGCCGAAGCAATAGCTAAGTGATTAAAACAAAGAGCTGCACTTCTCCTTCAAAGTTGGGCTCCGAAAAGGGTGGCCGCTGGTAGCAAGAGCCTGGACACCCTTTCCTCCGTGCAGGGGAACACGGCCCTCCAGGAAGAAAGAACTCCGCTTTCAGCCTCTGGCAAACCCAGAACTGGGTCAGCGTTTCCAAGACTACTGAGGACCAGAACCTGCTTCCTTAGACCAAGGATGACAAGGACCCAGGGCTCACATCCAAGTCAAGATGAGGGCAGGGACAGAAGAGGTGGGCACAGGGAGGAGGGCTTGGACTGCAGCTCACTTCTTTGTTCTGTGTGAACTCCCTGATGGAGTCAGCACTCCTTGTTGTGTCTCAACTCTGTTTCTGTTCTTCAGCCCCCAAAAGCAGGGCAGGCATTCCCCGTCACATCCAAGGCCTCTGCCTCCACAGAACATGGCTCCACCTCCATCACCAGGGCCTTGGCCCCTCCTGGGGCTCCTCTCCCCACTCTATAAACACCGAGTGTGAGGGAGCCCAGGCAGGCCACAGACACCAGGGAGCTGCATGCCAGAAATGATTACCACTAATAATAATAAACCCCGGAATGGCTTAATTGGCCTTTCTGCACTTCTCTAAACACAATGCCGACGCTTTCTTGGCGGCCCGAGAGCTGCGCGGTTTTCCTCTCCAGGGAAAAGTCTCAACTTCGTGGGCTCTGACCCCACACCAGCCGCCCGCAGGCTCGCCAGCAAAGCTGGGAAATGCAGGGCTGGCGGGCCGCGTTTCTTCACAGCAGCCGGGGGCTCAAGTGCACTCACGAAGAATAACGCAAGGCGGGGGCTGAGAAATGCCTGACAGTCAGTCAGCTCCCATGAACGAAGACCAGAGGCCAAGCCCAAGCCAGAACAATGGAAAAATCCTCCAGATGTAGCTCAAAGCACAGCCACCAAAGCAGAGTGGAAAAACCAATGCAATGGACACACACACACACACACACACACACACACATGCACGCACACACGCACACATGCATACATGCATACACACTTGCACATGCGCGCACGCACACATGTATACATGCACACACACTTGCACATGCACATGTGCACACACACACACACACACACACACACGGTGCCCTGCCCCCCTTTCAGACAACCTATGCCTCATTCGCCACAGCAGCACATCACACTGTACCCCGAATGCTTTCAAGGAAACAGCACCTGAAGGATGAGCTGTTTGCCAGTTCTGAGGCATCTGAACGTGTTCTTGTCAAATGCAATTTAAAGCCACTAATGGCTCCATTTCCAGGAAAGAGAGCAGTTGTAGGACCCGCTGAGGTAGGTAATGGAGATGCACAAAACATCCCAATTGGAGGGCCCCACAGACTACGGCCACACCTACCTTCTCCTTCTGCTCCACCTCTTGTTCTTCTCCCTTTCCTTTTCTGGCAGGACTGGGAGCTGAACCCAAGGCCTTCACACTGGACTACATCCTGGCCCTTTTCATTTTAATTTTTTTTTAACTTGGAAACAGGGTCTCACAAAGTTACAAGCTGCCCAACACTTCTGAAACTTGCAGACTTCCTGCCTCAGCCTCCCAGAATGTGGGATTACAGGCCTGCAGTCTTCCTGCCTCAGCCTCCCAGAATGTGGGATTACAGGCCTGCACCACCACACTGAACTCTAAGAGGCAAGGCCCTGGGTGATGTGCACTGATCCTGTAGAAATCTGATGTCCAATTAACAAATATAGTGAAAATGGCCAGCTGCCCCTAATAGCACCGGACAAGTGGAAAAAGAAAAGAATGAATGCAGGGGTTCAAATTCCCAAGTGCAGCAACACACAGACGGTCCCCACGTGTCTACCACGTACCCTACAAGGCAACCTTCTGTCTCACAGACGCGGAACTGGCATGACTAAACCTGGGTTACGATGCACACTAAATTCCCAGCCTCGGCCTCTGCTACTCCCGTGAAGGCACTGCCTAGGGTGAGCTGGCTGCAGATCTCCTCTCCCGGGGCTCCATTCTGTCTCCTCCCCTCCTCAGTCCCAACTCCATCGCTTCTGTTTTCCTACTATGGATTTGGGAAGATTTTATGGCACTCACAACTGACTCACCCAGCACCCTGGAACCCAGTTCTTCGGTCAGAATCAGATTGCCCTGGGGCCCGCCCACCTCACACAAAGGGTTTGTTCCAGGTTGTGGTGGTCCCCACGGGCCCTGTGCCCACAAGAACATGTGCCAACGTGTGTCTTCTGTGGTGCTCCCTACTGACCAGAAGGATGCAAGAAACCCTGTCTAGAGCATGGGTTAGCATCCTCTGCAGCCACAGCTGTTTCGACGTTTCTGCTTCCAAGTCCTGGGGGTGGGTGAGGAGCACGGAGGAGGGGCCCCACCAGGCGAGGTCAGCAAGCTCTGCCCAGGGCTGCCATTCCCACGTGGAAGGAACCGGCAGCCACAGTGCTCACACAGGAACCAAATGCAGACTGGGGAGCCCTTGAGAGTGGGGGCAGGAATCCCAGTACCGCTCTCCAGTGGCACGAGCGGACGGAACCCAGGCTCAGCTGAGCAGTACAGGCCAAGGCGTTGTACTTCTGCATTTTTAGCTCTCTTCCAGGGAACGAGCCCGTTCGGCTGCCCATGAGGATCTAAGTTCCTCTCAAGAGCAAGCACTGTCCACCAAACTGTGGTCTTGGCTACATTTTCGTTTCCTTATCTGCAAGGTGAGGCGGATGAGGCACCGTCCTGCTGCCCAGCACAGAAGGACACAGACAGTGTGCATGCCAGGAGACAAGACACGGTCTCATTGGATCACCAGCAAAGAGAACAGCTCTCACTCGCACCCTCACCTAGCATCCCTGTCCTAGACACAGAACCAGCTGGTCCATAGGGGGAGGGGCCCACAGGCTCACTGAGAGGACACACCACCTCATGTCACTGGCACTGGGACTGAGCCCAGGGCCTTCACACTGAGCTGTATCACCAGCTCCTTCGTTTTTTATATTTTGAGACAGAGTCTCACTAAGTCATCAGGTTACCGAGGGGAGCTGAACTTGTGGTCCTCCTGCCTCGCTCGGCCCTCCAGAGTGCTGGGAGTATAGGTGTGTGATTCAGACCCTTTAACAGCCCACGTTTGCAGCGAAGTTTTGGAGTCTGCTCCAGCAGCCTGACCCTTCACAGCCTCTCTGCGGTGTAAAGAATCGATCTTCAGAAAAAAACCCACACCCTAGGTCACAGGTTCTTCGCCGTTTGTTTGTCTAACAAACTCAAGGTCAAGCCAGCCCTTCATTCTTTAATCATGAGGATAACCGGTTAGAGTTAGAGGCGCTTGCCCATATTATCTCATTTAAACATCATCCTCACCCCATTAAATAAGGCTCCATTACTGCTTCCCCTCCCCTGGCAGGTGGGAAACCGAGAACCAGAGACCTAGGCACAGCATCATGTGGCTGGTGCCCCGTGAAGCGGGTTTGATCAGCAACAGGATATGGATCCCACGGGACAAACTCATCATGCAAACTTCTCTTGTTTCCCTGCTGGGTGCTCTGGGAATCCTTGTGGAAACGTGAGGGCCAGGAACAAGTGGGTACTTGGGTCCTGGCAGGGGTCACCTCCACCACTCCGCCTGCCCCCACTGCAGTGAGCTGGGAGGCCTGACCCTTCCTCATTAGATAGATGAGCACTTACATGTGGAGGCAGCCCAGCTGACAAGGCCCCAATTCAGAAGGACGCTAGCGTGTTTGTCTGACTCGCTACTTGCTATCATCTGAGTAGAGAGTGACTGATAAAAAACAAAATAAGCTGCCCTGCTTCCCCTTCCTGGACACGATGCCAGCCGTGCCCAGGCTCCATGGAAGCACCAGGGCGGGCTGTGGCAGGTGTGCCGGGCTGAGGCTAAGCCCACATACATGCGGCCACCCTTAGTGACAGAGACACTGACTGGGTCACATCTGTGGGTCTCCTGGAAAACAAGTCAGAGCTGTTTCTGAGCAGGCTACATCAGTTTAAGTGACACTCTCTTACTCAGAAAAGATGGCTCCTCCAGGTAGCCAGGCGGGGGCAGATTCTGGAGAACACAGCAGCAATCAGGGTGCAAAGCCTCAGGGTCCCCAGGGAGCTCCAAGAAAGAAGCCGAGCTCCCTGGGGCCATCCGGAAGCCATGTCTCGTGGGATGAGCAGACTCACGGGTCACTGAGCAATTTCCTCCAGGCCTGTACTGAGAGACTCGCCAGAGAAAAAGATCCCACAGCCTTCTGGGCTCTGTGGGGATCACATCCCACAGACAAGTCCAGACGGAGCTCTGGAGGTCAAAGCGCTCTGTTACAGAGATAAGGATACAGAGGGAGACACAGAGACTGGAAAGAGAATGAGAGGGAAGGAGGGAACGAGAGAGGAGCCCACAATAAGAAAAAGAAAACCTGAAACCCAGTGAGAAATGGAGACCGAGATGGAGGGAGGTAGAGGCGAAGGGGCAGAAAGACATAAGAGGGAGAAAAGAAGCAAGAAGAGGCCCTTTTAACTACGTATAGTTTTGCTTTGTTTTTTGAGACAGGGTCTCATTGTGTAGTTCAGGTTGATCTTGAACTCACCACCCAGCCCAACCTGGCCTTGCACTCACTGTAATCCTCCTGCCTCAGCTCTGAGTGCTGGGATTGTATGTGGGCATTACTGCACCCAGCTTAGGAAGGATCTCTTTCAGAATGTTTAGTTTAGATCAAGCTATGGCCCGAGTCAAAGCCAACTCCAGCCCTCAGGTTCTCTGCGAGGGGCACCGATTCCCAAGCACTACACATGCAGCGACAGGCCACATTCATGCAGCAGGTGACGATGGGCCCTGCTGCATCCATTACAGGTGGGTGAGGTCCTGCGGGGAACATCCCCTTGTGAAGCACCAGGAGCTGTGCTTAGTGAACTGGACCCACAGTGCATACAGAGCCCCGCCACATCGAATGCAGCCCAAGCCTGGACGGGATGGGATGTGGGGTAGAAGCCATCCTGCACAGGGCCCTCGCCTCACCCTGGAGGACAGCACCTCCAGCCACCAAGGGGAGATCAGTTTTGCAAAGTAACCCTCACCACCCAGTGGCCGACTGACCCCGAGGGAACGTGCACCTGTGCCAAGTTTAATTACACTGCACAGGTCAAATCCAATTTTTCTACGGGGGACACCAGCCTCGGTGATGCTTCTGCTTTAAATAGACACGAACAAGGCCACAGCTGTGGAACAAAGGGAGGAAACCGGAGCTCCCTGCCCTGCTAGGCTGTAATTAGGTTAAGGCCGGAAGGTGATAAAAATGGCCTCCCTCTGCACCACACCTGCCCACTGCGCTCACCCTTCTTCCGGGCCTGGGCAATGACTTCCGCCGCGCTCTTGCTCATCACCTTGGTGATGTACAGTGGGCAGTTGGTCTGGTTGGCGATGGTGATGGACCTATTCACAGCTTCCGCCTCGACCTATGGGAGAGAACTGAGCATGAGGACTCCGGCCACCTGAGCGCCATCCTTACCCAGAACGCACGACACATCTGTGTCCTGGAGGGTTTCTCAATCCTGGTAGGCTGCAAGGATATGGTACTTCCCTCTGACCTTTCTCAAAGTGTGGACATCACCCAGGACCCTCACAAATGCAGATCCGTGGGCCTCATGCCCAAGCCCGCTAGTACCCAGGGTTGTACGAGAACCACGGCCCGCAGACACTGGCTAATCTCAAGCTGGGACATCTGTTCTGCCTCCCTGGCCCTGGGTCAAGACCTTCAGGGATAGAACTTTTGGGCCGAGCTTCAGTTTCAGGCCAGCACCACCTACGAAATAATGCGCACTCACAGGGCCGGGGAGGCAAGCAGGTGGCAGTGCTGTGTCCACCAAGGGCCTGTGAGGCCTCAGCGTGGGCAGCCAGTTCAGTCTGGTGGGGTCTTGGTACTGCTGTGATGTTTGCTCAACAGCCCGCAGCGAAGACACCCCGGCTGGTGCTACGGCTGGCAGGCGAACCGGCAATGTGACTTTACAAAGGCAGGTGAAAATGTACTACAGCCGAGCTCTGAAGGTCACCATGGAGTTCTGGTATTTCTCATCACCCAATCTAGGCAAGATGGTGTGGTGTGAATGCTTGAAGGTGAACGAAGAGGCCACTAGCACCTGCTACGCACAGCAGGTGCTCCCAAGGGATTTCTGCAGAGATGCTGTCCCTGCCTTCCCTACAGCAGGAGCTGGGCATTCCGCAGGGCTGCAACATCACATGAACAGCAGAGCTCCCGCCCCAGGAGACTTGGGACTCAAGGAGGGCTCGGCAGGGCTCAGGCTCAGCTTCTGCCCTGGCCTTTCCGGGTCAGCTACAGAGCAGACCTAAGACAGCTCAGAATGGCACGGCTCAGACATGGAAGAGAGACGTCAAGAACTGCACAGGCAAAGCAATGGCTCTTGAAAGCACTCCAGAACACCCAAATGGTTTTCATTCCTGGGATAGCTGAGGGCCCTTCCAGCCCTCCAGGCCCTCCCTCTTCCTTTTCTGGCTGGATTCCCCAGAACCAAAGTTCTGAAGTTCTAAAGAAGCACCATTTAGATTATTTGGTAGGAATAATCCCCGGGCCCTGGCCCGTGTTGCATTGGACAGTGAAACATTCTAATGAAGGGGGACTAGGAACCCCAAATACCTCATCAGGGGGCTGCTCTACCCTGCTAGAAGTGGCCCTGGGAGAAGAGCTGGGCTCCAGGGGCCTGTCTGGATTTGCTCATTCCCTAGGAATGGAGTTCAAACCTCATCCTGCCCCAGCCAGCAAGAGAATAAACTAAAACATTAGCTCTTAGAGGACATCAGGTAAGCCCCAATTCTCCACGTTCCACCCAGAACATCGTACCTTTCTGTGTTGCTGTGTACATCTCTGATATACAACAGTTTTCCACAACTCTTAACTCTGGATTTAAATAGTATTTCTTTAAAATATTGCAAAAATAAGTGGGACATGGTGGTACACACCTATAATCCCAGCACTCAGGAGGCTGAGGCAGGGGTTAGCCATGAATTTCAGGCCAGCTTGGGCTATACAGTGAATTCAGGGCCACCATCATACGTTACGTAATGATACCTTGTCTCAAATAACCAAAATTAAAATAAAATGGCTTCAAAATAAGTAGGAAACTTTAAAATCAAATCGGGAATTCGGAAAGTCATCTACTCCATCTTCTCACTTTACAGATGAGGCAACAGAAAGCCCAGAAAGGGAAACAACACACCCAGGGCACACAGCAGCTCCCACCAGCCCTGGACCCCAGCTTCTGGCCCAGCACAGTCTCCCGTTCTGAGGCCCCGATGGGAGGTCCCTGTTCTCCGAGGGATTCTCCATTACCATATGTGAGTCCCCCCTACTATCTTCCCAGACATGGAGTTTCACACTGTTCTTCATGCCCGCACCCCCTCCCTTAGCCCATACAGCTACTTCTGTCAGCCTCTTTCTCCCCAGCTCCCTAGGAGTCCCTCTTGGCAGCGACCACAGCCCTCTTCATGCCCGCACCCCCTCCCTTAGCCCATACAGCTACTTCTGTCAGCCTCTTTCTCCCCAGCTCCCTAGGAGTCCCTCTTGGCAGCGACCACAGCCCTCTTCATGCTGTCCCGCAGCCACTCATCCGCCTCTGGAGGGTGACTTCCAGAATCCTGTGCTCCTGGTCCATCTTCTTGGCTAAGACCCAGGGGAAGCCCTACCAGTTAGCTTGGGAAGAAAGAAAGCACACAGTGGCAAGAGAATGTTCTGGAAAGTTTCAGTACAAGCTGGCCATCTCTATGCTAGTTATGGAAAGTTCTGGAGAGCGTTTGGAAGTTCAACCGTATGACATTAGCTGCTGTTCCTACGCACGGCCGACTCCTCCCTCTGGGCTATGAGGGTTCACGTCCATTCAGAGCAGTTCCATATTTTATTCTCTTTATCACCCACACAGGACTTAGCATATGACAGAACCCTCTTGGCAAACTGGAAAGTGTTTTCCCAAGAGCCAGGAACATCCAGCTGGAGCCCGGGGGCTGAAGTTGAATCTCCTTCATCTCCCTTCAAGCCCATGTGACCTCCTCACCTCACCACGATGCCAGGCCCGGATCAGGGCCCCACCCCACATCAGCTGAGAATCGCATTCTCCAAAGATGGCACTGTCACAGGGAGCCACGGGGACTCTGCAATTCTCCCTGTGACAACGGCCACAAGGGGAGCTTCCTGGGCTGAGCTGTGTACAAATGGTTTTAATTTTTCTGGTCAAAGGAGCAAGCAGAATTGCACCTCCCTGTAGCTCTCTCCTTTCCAGGCAGCCCAGGCCAGCTTACTTCCTGTTTGTGCATCCTGCTCTGCAGGTAGCTCGAAAGCTCTGAGACTTTACTGCCCCTTCAGCTTCTGCAGTCTCTTTCTTCAAGCAAGAAGCTAACAGTTCGCCTCCATCCACCCAGTCCCTGAGGAGCTGCTCTCCTCACCTGCCTCTCTTCTGTGGCCTCTTTCCAGGAAAGAAGAGGACTGGCCCCTTCCTGGGACGCCCTCCTCCATCTCTTTGCCCAGAGCTGCCAGACTCCTCCTCAGTCAGGCCTTCTGCCCATCACCAGGAGCAACTTCTGGGAAGCATTTTAGAGCTACAACTTCCAGCTGAGACACAGTCTTACGCCCCTCACCATCCACAGTGCTGTCAGGGCTAGCCAGGCCCTGGGCCGAACTCGTCTGCAATTTAAAAGATGCCAGCCAAGTCGCTGGTGATTTCATGACTAAGGTCACCCTGCACAGGCTTATGGTGGGAAAACACACACCATCCCCGTGAGAGGCGTAGAACAGTGCTCTGATCCACAGTCTCACGTTCGGGGACTGGCCTTAAGTTAGGAGCTGCTAAAGCCCAGACTGTAGGAAGCTACTCTGGAAGTGCTTGTGTCTGCTCAAGAAAGGGCGAGGAGAGCCACAGCGTAGGGCACAGCGTCAGCTGCACGGGCTCCGCATCCCGGGCACAGCGAGGCGTGCGTCCCGTTTGCAGATGCTCACCTCCTCAGGCCGGCTCAGCACGTGTCCCTCGGGGCCTGTGATGCCCAGATCCAAGATCCTCTGCTGCTCCTGAAATGAACACAGACAGCAGGCGGTCAGGGGAGCCAGACTTCAGGAGGCGCTGAGGGCTGCAGGCCTGGACACAGTACCAGCCCAGCAAGGTGTGTGACACTGGCACTGCGGGCCACTCAGCAGGGACCCAAGGCTCACGGAGAAAAGGGCTCCCCGCCCATCCCCAGCCCCCTGAGTAGGACGATCAATGATACCCTCCCCAAACCACTCAGCTGTCCCTGCCTCAGCGTGGGACATGGGTGTGACAAGGCAGCTGTGTCTCAAAGAAGAGACTAGGAATGGGCCATGTGTCCCACGTATACCCTGTGTTCAGCTGCACCCACACCCAGCACAGACTCCAGGCTTTCTGGCACCCTGCAGCACTCAGCTACCAAAGTCACCCATCTTGCCTAAGGCCATGTCCCTGGCCCTAGTCCCCGGGGTGAAAAAAGGGCAAAGAGGAAAGCTCTGTACCTCTGCAATGATGTCCCCATTTTCCGCGTGCACTTGGGCTATGGCGCCAATATCCCGGATCACACTCAGGACTTCATATATCTGAGACAGGGGAAAGCGGGATCAGAGGCAGGAGCCCCTTCCTGTGGGTTCCGTTTCTGCCTCCTCTACGCTTAGCCAAGCCCCGAGGCTGTGTTCCCAGCCACTTCTGGCAGAGGAAGTCCCCTCTGCCATTCACAGAGGGAGGCAGCAAAGGGTGGGAGGAGAGCTGAGGGGCTCGGGGACCACACCAGGTTCACTGAGGAGGCTGCACACCCTGCTGGGCCACACTGTCCCCCAGCTACAGGGACCCAGGGTCAGATCCAGCATCTGCCAGGGCATAGGCCCTCAGCGCACTCCCCTCCCAAGAGGCTGATTACAGCTAACTGAAGCCAGCAGCCCTGTCCTGTGCCACTAAGGGACACTTATCTGGTGGTGCCACTAATGGTCAGCTGACACGTGGCAGTGAACCTGTCTAAGGAGATGACTTCCTCACCTGGGAATCCGTGAGCTGGAAGCGATCTTTGAAAGCCATGTACACGAGAAAGGAATTTACCCCTAAAGGACAGACAAAAGAGAGAGGAAGACATGATTTTCAATAGCTAAACAGGAACCAAATAATCAGAAAGGGAATGAGACAGTGATAGCATCATGATTGTGCATACATGTGCACATGTATGTGCGTGTGGGAGATGGAAAAGAGAGAGAGACAGACACAAAAAACAGGAAGGAAATGGAGTAAACTATCAACAACCAGGAATTCTGAAAATAGAGCTCTTGAGAATTATTTTTAGTACCTTTACAATTTTTCTGTAAGGTTAAAATGTCACCAAAATTAAAAGCCACAATATTCATCCCCACGCCCACAACAGCACTGTACACAGTAACTGGGGGGCAGAAGCAACTCGAGCGTCATCGATGGACACAGAAACCACCAGTGAGGTCCCTGGCACGGCGGAACGTGGTTCAGCCTCTGAAGGAAGCCGTGATGCATTCTGCAACCCGGGTGAGCCACAGACATGGTGCTGCTGTGTGCAACAGGCCACTCGCAAAAGACAAACACGGGAGGACGCTGCCCACCTGAAGGATTCGGGACAGGCAAACTCCTGAAGACAAAAGAAACAGAAGTGCTGGGGCTGGGATTTAAGGGACTACGGGCAAGTCACCATGAAGGGTACTGAAAGCTTAGGCAGAGGAGTCCTGGATCAGGAGGGCGGAGACGGCTGTATTTAGTGCCACTGAACTGTACCCTTCATACTGGCTCAGAGGATTATGAGATGTGTATTTCACCACGGGGACTTTACAAAACAAAAAACACTGCCCCAAAATAAGTCCATTGTGACTTTTAGAAAATGAACTTGAAGTGTCTATGAAGATCAGTAATAAGCACCGTTTCTTTGGCAAGTGCGACACCTTCCGCGCTAATTTTTCAGAATTAAAAAAAAAAAAAAGACCCATTACTTCCACATGCAGACGTCTCACACTACTCACCCTGGCATCTTATGGGTCTTGCCTCCCAAGGCACCAGCCCAAACATCCATGCCCAACATCCATCACAATTTTACACAATCATCCTGACAACCTCAAAGCCTCAGAGCTTAATTCAAGCCACTTGGGGTGCTGGAAGCTGCCTGAGTTAAATGCCTCTGGACATCCTGGCCCTGCTCTCCTTGCCAGGCAACGGTTGTTATGGTAACCCTCCAGCCTATCTGGAGCAGATTCATTCTAAGTATTGAAAGTCAAAGCCAATGGAGTCTGGGTATACACCAAAGGGAGGTTAAACTGTTGCCTATTTTCTTGTTTATAAAGCTTCATTCTGAAAATAATCTTAGGAGACATCTTATAAGTTCAATATCCTAATTGGAGAGATTTTTCTTCAAACTTGAGACCCACAAAATTTATGTGATTGGCCGAAGGTCACATTGCTTCTCTGTGGAAGGACAAAGAAACAAATCTAAGGATGAAGTCTCTCATTCTGGAGCTATCGGTGCAGTATCGATGGATACCTACCACATCTCTGTGTATTTATATATATTTGTGTCCATCCCAGAATTACTGCTTTTTTTCTTTTTTTGTACCTGAAATCAAACTCAGGACCCTGTGCTTGCCAGGCAGGTGCTATACCACTCACTAAGCTATATCCCCGGCCCCTTAGGTTTTTGTTTTCTTAACACTGTGCCTCACTTTGTACTCTAAGCTAGCCCTGAACTCTACATAGCCTAAACTGGCCTTGCATTCACAGCAATCCTCCCGCTTCAGCCTCCTGCGGGTTGAGGTTACAGGCATACACCACGAAGGCTGGCCCGCCTGCCATGCTACTCACGGCATAGGTGCTTCAGTGGCCTGGCGTTCCAGAACCCAAAATCAACAGGTGCTTCCTTGAAGGCCAGGCTTCAGTGAGGTCCCAAGTGAATGACCCTGGGCAGCTAACACACAGCCAAACTCAAGGAGAACATGATGACTATGCTGTGTTCCACCACCCACACTCCAAGGTATGTGATGGCAAGAGTCCTAGGGACACCCTGAGGCTGTAAAGGCTGTGCCTGCCTCCCTGGGACTCTTTGAAATTTCACAATCCCTTGAAATTTCACAACTGCAAAGACCCTTGAGGTCATCTTCCAAGTGTCTCCTCACCCTCCCCTCCATCTTGGATACCAGGCTTTGCAGGAAGGGCTGCCCCAGCCCTCATGGCTCAGATGACTCCCTCAGACACTTGTCCTCCAAGGGGTCATGATGGCCCTCAGCAGGCTCCCAGCTTGGCCACCTCACACAGGTCAGCCATGAGCAAGAACAGGCACAGAAGCCAGGCCTGCCCTCACTGAAGGTGACAAGACCATGACTGGTCAGCAGGGGCTGCAGCCCGAAGCCCTTGCTGGCCACGACTCCCACAGCCCTGCTGCCCAGTGCAGGGCCTATGTATGGAGGGAAAAGGAAAGGGGGAGCCCGGTCCACAGCACCTACCATGGTCCTTCACCAGTGCCTCCATCTCCTCCTGGATGCCCTTGTGCCACTCGGTGATGTCCACATGCAGAGAGTAGTCGCAGCAGGACTTGCTGTCGGCCCACTCCCTCCACTGGTCGAAGGCGGCCAGCAGGCTTGTCCCAGGCTCCGGGACGACATGGTCAACTAGGAAGGAGCAGATGTTTGTCATCAGTGACCAGAAAGACACAGGCCACGGCTGTCAGGTGTCCCCCCACCCCTCAGTCTCCCCCCAACCCCTCCACCTTGAGTGAGCTTCTTGGGTTCCCCTAGGAGACAGTGATCTCCCCAGACAGAATCCTAAGAATGCACTTAAGCGACCCAGTACCCAGAGGCAGAAAGCAGAAACTCGGCCCTGGGTAAGGCTCAGTGGAAGCGCCTGCACGGGGCTGGCCTCCCCCCTCACAGTCCCTGGGGTGCATTTCGTGGACAATAAGTCCTTAAGGACAATGGCAGCTCAGTCGGCTCCACTAAGCTGCTCCAGGCTGATAGCACAGTGAGTGCCCGCAGACAGGCAGGCCCCGGTGCAACTGGACTCCGGCCAGGGCGGCCCCACCCCCTCCAGCGGCTCATGTGACTGAAGCACAATACCAGTCTGTAACTGAAGGGGGGGACTCTCTCATCTCAGAGTTCAAAGCAGTCTGAGACTGTGGCTGCTGCTGTGCTATCATGGAGATAGGTGATACGACGACCATGGCCTCTGGCGGCGGCCCTGGCTCCGCAGCTCACCTGCAAGATGCCCAGAAAACTACTCGGTCTCCACTGCCCCGGTTTAAATGGGGACAAGAATTCCTGGCACTTTGGGCTGGTTGTGAGGAGTACACGAGACAGCATATCAATCAACATTCTATTGCTCCCTGATTTAAGTTCTCCCACAGCTTCCCTGACGCTCCACAGGAAGATTAAAGTCCCCAAGAAAGACTACAAGCCCGCGCCAGCTTGGCGCTGGTCCATCTCCACAGCAGGACTCTGGCGCCCTCACCTGCGCTTTGCCGTGCAGCATCTGCCTTTCAGTTGCTCCAGTATCAGCCGGCTCCCTCTAGCCACAGGGCCTTTGCATGTGCCATTACTATCTCTCCTAGCTCTTGAACAGCTCTCCCTCCCCCAGCGACCGTGATGACAGCAGTTTTCTAGAGCTGTTATTATCCATCTTCTGCACGGCAAGTACTAACATGCAAACGGTCGTCATTTGCCGAGGTTAAGCGAAACATATGCAGTAACAGAAACAAAACTCGGGACTCTACAGGCCGAAAACAATGAACCTATTCATCTTAAATAAAACATTAGATTTTCTAACCCAGGTAAGCAGCTCTGAGTTAAGAAAATTCCAGGGTAGGCAGGGCTAGTGAGTTCAGATTTCTGAAATGGATCAAATTTTGCAGACATTGCTCAACTGTGATCAGCTGAGCTCACCTTTGGCGCTATCAGAAACACAGCTGACAGGGCAGTTACTCTGAGGGGGGCACTACGTGCTGTACGTGCACATGGAGTATCGCACCACACTGTAAGGACACGTAAGTGCCGATCAAAACTGTCCTGGAAAATTTTTCAGACTCCTCATCCTCTGTTTTCTTGAGGTTCTCACTACAATTTTTTTTTTTTTTTTTGGCAGTACCGGGGATTGAACTCAGGATCTTGGGCTTGCCTGGCAAGTGCTTATTCTACTGAGCTATCTCCCCGGCCCTGCACTTACTTTTTAATAAGTATCAGTATAAGGCATAAGCGTTTGTTTTATATAATTAAGCAGGTGTACACATCTCTGGAATCCATAATGCGATGTCACCTAAGGAAAGTTAAAACTAAAGGACACTTTTCGTGCAAGCCTTGGTAAGATGCCAAGGTAGGAAGTGACGAAACAATTCCATCTTTCTTTTGAAAGTGCCCCTTCAGGCTTCCCCAAAAACCACAAAAACACCACTTTGCAGCAATCTCTTGGACAGTCCCTGGTGTGCCCTCCTTCCCCTCTCACCCTCTTGCAAGCCACCACGTTTCGGACAATCTTCCGAACCCTTTGATCAGGTGCCGCAGAGTCGAATTCAAATCCACTCCCTGTTTTGCAGGTCTGGTCTCCCTAAAGCTCTCCCTGTCCCCTCCCAGCTGACCACAGCCACTGTGTGGGTTCTGTACTTCCGTGGCCACCCAGCACACCCAGGCCCCTGCTGGAAAGCCACCCCCTGCTCCTCACCAGGCAGCAGCGCTCTCCTCACCCAGGCAAATGCTCTGCTCCCTGCGGTTACATCACCACTTGTCATCTTCTCCCTGTAAGCATCAGCCTGGCTCCCCCACTAGCATGGAACCTTCTCCGAGCAGGCACTGGACGTCCAAGCAAGGGAAGAGGTCCATGTCCTAACGATGTGAAAGCATGTTCACTCTGCACTCACACCTCCCGATGGGCAACATCTAGCGCAGAACCAAGAGCGGCCTGGTCCCCTCCATATCTGCAAGACCCTGGCTCCACTGCCGCCGCCTGCCCCAGGCGTCCAGACTGCACAGATGCTCAGATCCCTTGTGCAAAATGCCTTGTGCACAGGACCCGTGCGAATTCTCCTGGGTTTTGTTCTGTTGTCTGGAGGAGTGTGTTTTGGTGCTGAGGACTGAACCAGGCCCCTAAGCTTGCACTCCACCCTCGAGCTACACCCCAGCCCCTCCTATATCCCTTGCTCTGCCTCCGGATTACATGTAACACCTGGTACACCTACGCGTCACAGCTCAGTATGGAATTGGCATTAGTGCTCGCTGCAAAGCATATTTCAGTTTTGCTTTTTGAAACTTCTGGTCACTTTCAGTCTGGGGTTACTTGAACCCAGAGCTGCTGGCTCTGCAGACACAGCAGAGGCCGCCAGTGCACTCCCTGGACGCCACCTGCCCCGCCCACACCACTGGCCCACTCAGCCCCGCCCACCTCCGTCCCAGCCCTGGCAAACAGAGGACACTCCTTCTCTGCACAGGAGAAAACTGCCTTCTTAAAAAACAGCAAATTTTCTGAATGATGTAATTTTGCTTTAAGTAGAAAATTACAAAACTACCGAAAATCTTAGAGAAAATGAGTATCATATCCAATCCAATCCAATCAGTATCACTCTCCCCAGACCCCATCTACCGACTTTTGCCATATTTTCTCTGAGTCTCTTTCCTATATGTTACATTCTGCTTCCGTATTCATAGGCTCCTTCCTCCCAAAACTGCTTTCAAGTAAATGAAAAACATACTTGAAATATAAAATTTGATAAACCAAACCTCAAATGGTTTTGGAATTAAAAGCAAAGGAAACGGGGTTGGAGAGATGGCTAAGTGGTCTAAAGCAGCTACTTGGAAAAAGCTTGGCAAAGCACAAGGACCGCGGTTCAATCCTTCAGCACCACAGGCCAGCCAGCCGCACCCCCTGGTGGGCTGAGCTGGCCACACACACACACAATAAATAAATGTAATAAATAAATAAATAATAATTTTTTAAAAAAAGCAAAGGAAACAAAACAACAGTGGGACATACAGTGAACAGACTCTGTAAGTAGGTGTGTTTGTGTGTTTGTGTAGCCATGTCTGTACGTACTGAATGCATGTATGTTTGTGTGCACACATATGTGTCCAAAGATAAAGAGCATTTATGCTTATACATGAGCTAGGATTAGAGCCAGGCTCCCCAGCCAGTGTAAAGAAGGAAGCCTGGCATGTTCTGCAGATCCACTGCTCTGAGATTACAAAAGCATCATACCCAGGCGAGGTGGCGCACACACGTGATCCAAGCACTCAGGAGGCTGAGGCAGGAGGATCCCTGTGAGTTCAAGGCCAGCTTAGAAATTCTCTTCTCAAAGAAAGACACAGACTGCTGAGGCTAAGACCCCATGCTCATATTTACTGAATACCCTTTTTCACCTGGTTGATATATGGTGACGCCTTTAAATTTTTGTTACTAGATAAATATTTTAAATTTATATATACAGTACATTACAGAAGAAGTCCAGGTTCTGTCCCAAGGGTATTTTCTTTTGTTCCATTTATCTCCACCAGTAGTAATTACATACAGCAGCTTTTGTATAGCTTAATATTTGGTTATAAAAGTTCCCCTTTGTAACTCTTACCCTTTATTATTACTTTGGACACATGGTGCAAGGGACAGTACCCAGGGCTGCTGCCCCTGTGCTTGGGCTCTACCACTGAGCCACACCCTAGCCCTCCTGTTCATTTCCTCTGTAGATCTGCTTCCCCTCACCTCCAACTCAGGGACAGGGAAGCCCTCCAGCGGGATGACCCCCTCCACAAAGCCCAAGCAGGCACTGCTGTGTGTCCGCCCCCACTGAGCCTTCCCCAGAGTGGGCGGGACAGCTGCCAAGGACACTGGAGGACCAATGAGAGGACTCAGACCCTCAATCCCAAGGCCTGGCAGAGTGCGGGGTGCTGCGCTCCCCAGGCTGCAGGGCACAGAAGGGTGGCTCCTGACACAGGCTTCTCCAACACAGGCTTCTGACTGGTGGTCCAGGCTGGGACCCAGCAACCTTCACTTCTAAATGCAACCCGGGACCTGCTGCAGGCCAGGCTGCCTTCCGGGCTGCCTCTCCATGCCCCCAGCAGCATTCAAGTACACAACAGCATCATCAGGCACAATATACCACACCACACACACACACACACACACACACACACAGGACTGCCAGCTGCAGGGCTATAGCTTCTTCCTCCCACTCCCCAGCACAGCGGGGACCGCATCAGGGACCACTGCAAACACAGCGTGCACAGGAGGCCAAGCGCGGCACAGAGAGCCACACTTCCCCCAGCGGCTCATGACACTTGGGAACGAGTCCCGGAGAAGCTGTGCATGTTTTCTCACAGCCCCTTCCATCAGCGCACTCCTGGGACAGCAGCTCCACAGGAACAGGGCAGAAGGTCACGCTGACTTCCGGAGGGAGCCACGTGGACCCTGAACACACAGGCTGCCTCGCCCGCCCCTCCAGTGACCTTCCAGAGCCATCTGGCCCTGCACAAGGTAGAGCCTGGTAGGAAAGAGCAGGTAAGGCACCTGCCGCCCAGCTGCCACACGGCTTGCCCCTCCCTTGTGAAGCACAGCTGGTGAACCAGCCCCTGTGGCACCAAGAACACGCCTTGGGACGGTGGCCTGAACTGCTGTCATCCACATACCACCAGCTATTTCC